TTTTTGTTTAATAAATACATACATTCCTGGGCCTGGGGTGAGAACATCTTCCTGGAGGAGGCATTATCCTGCCTACCACATATCCCATAATAGTTGAGTTATAATGAGCTTAACCCACAATAACAATTCTACTTTTATTATTTATAATTCTATTTAAGATAAGATTTTATCTGTAAAAACCAGTTGGCACAGAATGTCTCTGGGATATACTATTTAGACATTAAATCACATCATTTCCTGCCGATTTTTATCAATGAGTGTGGATCTTCCTTTCACCCACGAGCACAGGTCACGACCTCAGTCCTGCGCCCGGGACGGAGCCACCTGCCTCACTCCTGTGCCCGGGGTTACCCATGTGCTGCCCCGGTCTGAGCGCAGAGGAAATCAAGGCGTCCCCACTCCTCTCCCCCTCATTTGTTGTGTTTATCACTTGATCACTGGTCATTTTCTGTTCATCTAAACCAGTGATTTTCTTTCTTCCTTCTTTTTTCCCCCCAATCCTCACCCGAGGATATTTTTTCCATTGCTTTTCAGAGAGAGTGGGAGAGAGACAGAGGGAGAAACATCGATGTGAGAGGGACACGGATTGGTTGCCTCCCACAGGTGCCCCAACGGGAGCCAGGGATCCAGCCCACAAGCCAGGTCCGTGCCCTCGGCCGGAACCAAACCCAGGACCCTTCAGTCTGAGGGCGACGCTCTAACCACTGAGCCAAACTGGCTTGGGCATAAACCAGCGATTTTCAGCCAATGAGCTGCGGCACACTGGTGCGCTGCAAGGATTTTTTAAACATGCAATACCTGACTATTTAGTCAGGGGCATGGACCTCTCTTCCCTTCTGTTGTCAAATTAAAAAATGACACAACAGCCATCTGGTGTGAATCAAAATTATACCTTTTTTTTTGTCAGATTGACAAGAAACATATTTTTTGCTGTGCTGCCGAATTTTAGTAATTAGTTTATGTGCCATGAGATGAAAAAGGTTGAAAATCACTGCTCTAGACATATAGGAAAAGCTTAATAATAATGAGGGATCATGATAGATTCCTGAGCATACCAAGTAATACAAGAATGAAAGGGGAAGCTCTTTTAACTACTCAGTAGAAACCAGACATGAACTTGATAATCTAGGGTTTTTAAAACTTGTCATATAAAGAAAAAATATGGAAGGAGATACACACTACATCATACGACATCTGATTATCAGTGCTCAGTTGTCATCTTAGTCCACGCGGGCTGCTAAAACCCAGTAACCAGACCGGGCGGCTTATAAACAACAGAATTGTACTGCTCACAGCTCTGGATGCTGGAAGTCAGATTGGGTGCCAGCACTGTTGGGTGAGGGCTTTCCTTGGAGTCACGGATTCCTGGCGGTGTCCTCACCTGGTGCAAGGGCCCAGGAGCTCGGGGAGATCTCTTTTATAAGATCACTCAGGGCTCCACCCTCCCTCCCAAAGGCCCCACCTTCTCACGCCATCACTTTGGGGGTTAGGACTTCAGCATATGAATCAGGAGGGAAACAAACATTCAGACCATAGCACCTCTTGATATATAAAATATTTTCACATGTTAACTATGTGCTTTCCAGTGTGAGTCTTTAAAAACAATTAAACAAATGTCTAGGCGAAAATGTAATTGAAGCCAAAATTCCTTTAAAAAGAAACAGTTAAATGTGTGAGAACAAGAAAAGGAAAACATAACATTATTTTTTTCTTCTTTACTTTTTCTGATGATAAAAGGTACTCATACCCCTTACAGAAGATTTGGGAAATTCCTAAAGAAAAAAATTCAAAATGAAAAATATTTCCCAGAATTCCACCACCTAGAGAGAAACACCTTAACATTTTGGATTCTTTCTTTCCAGGATCATTTCTGGAAAACCAATTCCCCTATGGACGAACTGTACAGCACACATATTATATGGTGAATGAAATGAAAGCTCCTATTTGCTCATTTATTCATCCACGCGTCAACATCTTTCACCAGATGTGCTGCAACAGGCCACTCATTCATTTATTCACAAGGCACACGACCAGTCTCTGTGGTTGCTACAAAGGTTAATAAGATATGGACACTATAGTAGGAGTGTATTTAGTCAGGATTCTTTCGGATGCACGTAACAAAAGACCAATTCAAATGTATTGGTTCACCAACTGGGAAGTCCAAGAACCTTTGCAAACTCTGTCTACATAAGGGTTCCGCTTGTCTCTCATTTCTCAGTGCTGCTGGCCACTGTCTGACTTTATCTTCAAACAGGTTCCCTCCATGTGGTGGCAAGATGGCCCCTGAGAGTTCCAGACTTGCGTGGTCCTTAGGGTTTATAATCCCTAGAGAAGGAAAGACCTATTCTCTCCCAGAGTTCACATGTCAAGGCTGATGGAAGAACTCTGTTTGGCCCTGCCTGGGTGAACGGTCAGTGAGGAGAGAGGGGTGGGTGCCATGATTAGCAAGGCCTGGTCATACCCGTGCCTATTGTTAACAGTGACATGAGAATCACGTAGGTTCAGAAAAGGGCATTTCTCTAAGAAATAGAGGCGCTGGTCAAAGGCAAAGCAACAGATGTCCAATAAGGAGATGTGTACTCAAATATTTTGTAGAAAACCAGGTTACAGTTAGACAAGATCATCCAGGTTAACATGCTGACTCAAACTGATTCTTTTAAAAGCAGACTATACAACATCGCCTGAAACTCTTCTCAAACTTCAAAAACTTTTTATCCCCTCTGAAAGCGTGAAACAAAGGTCCCTTCAGTTTCAAGTTTCTTACTAAAAGCAAGTCTGTCAAGTAAATCTATTTTCTGATGGTATGTGGATGTGTGTGGGGAGGGGTTATACACCTTTGGATTAACTTTAACAAGAGGCAAATGCTGCAGTGTTAAAATTACAACATAGTAGTGAACGCAAGAGAGAGCCATGTAAATTCTACAAAACTGGAAGGAAAGCCAGGGCACGGTAATCAAGCGGCAATCTCAGGACAGCGAGCTGACATGGGTACCTTGGGCAGTTTCATGGGAAGCCTTGTCAAGCCAAAAAGGGAAGAAACTAACATTTCAATAGCTATTGTGTCCACAACACTGTGTTAGTTGCTGTCATTCTGACCATTTAACACAAAGTAATTATTGTTTCCAACCTAAAGATACAGAAGCTGAAGCTCAGGATTATTTAATTCACCCAAAGTCCACCTGAAGCCAAAGTCCATTCTTTCTCCACAACCAAGTTGCCTCCCAGGAAAGGATAGACTGGCTGTTTCAATAAAGGCCTATTTCACTTCTGAAGGGAAAGATAAATTACTAAAAGTGCACTGAAAGAACCCAAGGGTTTAAATGACGAACTTAGCCAGGAGTTCTGTTGTGAAACTGTACTATAAACAGGTACAGTACATATGTTGTGAAAGAACTTAAATGTCCTGCATCCTGAAATCCTCTTGCTTATTTTGAAAATCAATCAACTAGCTGAGCATGTGGACATAATTTCTGTGCACTTTCCGCCTACTTGACAATGCCTGTCTCCCGACCATGTCTCAGCCTGTCTCAGTCTTGGCTCACGTTGCTGCTTCTGCTTGAAACACGTTTCCTTTCCTTCAGATGAAATCAAGGCTGCTCCCCACCAAGAATTTACTTAACTCAGATGTCACCTCTACAAAGTGAGCTCTTGCTGCAAATACCCCTATTGAAATAGCGCCCCCATTCTTGTACAGCATTTAGCATGTGAATTTTTTTTTATTCATTTGTTTCTACTGCTTGTCTCCTCCAAAGAGAATATAAATTCCTTGAGGGATAGGATCTTGTCCACCCCGTTTCTCCAGCACTTGGGTTATTCTTAGGACACCGGAGGCGCTCACAAATAATGTAGGGAATTTACTGAGTACATGAATTGCAAGGGGCACAAAGTGAGGCAACACTGTATCCGCGGTAGAGAGAGAAAAAAAAAAGTGTGAAGAGACCAAAGAAACGGAAAGGAGCCTGTGTAGGCGACCCAGGGCCTGCCGCCCCTGAAGCAAATGGAAACAAAGTAACACTTTGCAAACACTTAAGTACTAGAGCCTACACCACGCGGGGCGCCGCTGGGAGCGTGTTACACACATTCCCTCGTTATCAGCCCTCCCAGTACGCCTGTCCCTCCAGTTCTGCAGGTGAGTGGAGCGGAGCAGGTGGGCCACCGCGGCTGGGGTCAGAGGACGAGCCCTGGCAGAGGCAGAATCTGAACCCAGGCGGCTGGAGCTGCTGCGTTCAATCCTGCTGGACGATGCCTCCAAAAGAGCCCAGGGATGGGCGGCACCGACGCCCCAAGGTTCCTCTGTGCCCATTAAAGTCAGTCTATCGGTTTAAAATAAATAACAGGGGAGACTGGAAGACCTAACAACGCGTTTTGTCTCGGCCGGGGCAGTTACGACAACACCGGTTACGAGGTCGGCCAGCCTCA